TCCCCATTTTGTGTATTATTGGCTATACATTTGTCATGTTGTGTGTGTCTGTAATATACCATAAACATGTTGGTTTCATTCCAGAGATTTAGGGATGGTTCAACATAAGCAAATTAATATAACACATACACATATAACACTCAGGAACATAAATCTCATGATTATCTTACTGTCTCAATAGAGAAAAAGCCCTTAAACAAGTTCAATATCAATTTTTTAAAAAAATAGAATCCCTGAAGAAATCTGGAGTAGAAAGAACATAACCATCCTCTATCTATATTTAGGTAGATGGTAGATGATAGAGATAGATAGATGGATGGATGGATGGATGGATGGAGGGATGGATGGATGGATGGATGGACGGACAGACAATCAGACAGATTAGATTAGATTAGATTAGATTAGATTAGATTAGATTGAGAAAAGCCCTAATTTCTTGGATGGTGTCAGCTGATGTTTTTCTGGCTCCTCAAACTTTTGTTGGAAGATGTCTAATGTTATTCTGATGGAGATGCCTTTGTAAGCACATTGACATTTTCCTCTGGTAGCTTTTTGCTGTGTTTTACTTGACATTTTGTTTCCATTTTGACAGTCTTGCTATGTTACCCTTCGATGTATTCTCAATGTACTACAAACTCACCAGTGACAGAAATCCTTCTCACTTTCCTAAGTGCTAGAATAACCATGTGGGACACCAGAACCAGCTTTCTCATGTATTTCGTCTTCCTTTGTTTTACTCTTTACCTTTAACTCTGATGTGACATGGAGAGCTTCTGCAATTGCCATATTTTGTAGGAATTATTAGTGCCTCCATTCCTAGTTTGTCTATATCATTGGTTGGAGAAATTTTGTTATTCTATAACTGATTAGGTTTTTTGATATCTTTGTCTTGAAACTCTACTATTACGCGTACACTTAGGTTTGACCTCTTTCAAAATTTTGCAAAGTCATAGACATCCTGCCTTTTTTTTTTTAACTCATCTCTAAATGTACTCTTGACCTTGACTTTGTTTTTAATCCCTGTGTACTTTCTTCTGCTTGATTTAGTCTCTTGGTAATAGTTTCAACTGGTTTATTATAATTTATTATTATTACTATTATGTTTGCTACTTAACTTATTTCCTTGATGAATTTTCAATCCATGTTGCAGACTTTCTATTTCTAGGTCCTGAATTGATGTCTTCTTTAAAGTCATTGATCAAATTTAAAAGTGGGCTTTTGAATTCTTTGTCTTAGGTTTCAAGTATTTCAGCACCTTTTGTTTTACCTATTTTTTAGATAAGGAATCATACTATCTAAATTTTTCATACTTCTGCTATTATACTATGACTTAGACATCTATTGGGATGTATATATTTTTTTCTTTCACTTATATATTCACAACTTTTAAGAGTAGTTTTCTCTTGAGCTTACATTCACACTACTCTTTAAAGGAGATGAAGCAGAGATTCATAACAAAACAATTATTTGTCCAGAAAAGTTATTAAATTATTAAAATGCATGACGACCTACATCCTTACTAAGGTTATAAGATGTCTCTGATCCTAACTATTTACAAACAAGGGAGTTAAATAAAGAGTGGAGGACTAGGAAGCGGGAAAAGAGAAAGGAAGGAAGGAGAGGAGTAAAAGCAGATGGTAGGAAAATAGAGCAGAGGTAGGAAGAAGACTGAAACTACAGAGACAAGCAAGTCAATCATAAAAGCAGAAAAAGGAACAAAACCAAGAAATAAAAAGCTAATAAGGGAATAAATAGAAAAACAATACAAAAGCCAGTATTTCCACCCTGCTGAGATACTGTGCAAGTCTTTCACCTCCCAAGTCACTTCGGATTCCCTTTAGGCTCCTCCTCAGATCTTTCTCACACTGGAGCTCTTTTAGCTTGGTAATAAAGTGTGTGGAAAAGGAAGTGTTTTTAAATCTCATTATTAAATCTCAGTCCTTTAGTATATCCAAGCCCTTAAACCATGAATTTAACAACTATCTCTAATTTACACGCAAACACATCCACTTCACTGAGAGATAACCCGTAATAAAAATGGAAAAGCTGTTCTTCCTTCAGATGGTAAAATCTTTCTCCTAAAGCTCTTTATTACAGATAATGCCGAAACTCATTTCACATTGGTTCTCTTCCTCCTTACACGATACAGCCATTAGCAGTCCCCTTTTTGCTTTAAGTTTTAAAATGTGCAAGTCCATAATGAATAAGGGTCCATGTGGTTAGTGTACCCACCCATGGTTTCTGCGACTGTAAACAGAATTTGGATGTGATTCTCGATTTTCCTATCTTCCAATATTTCAGGATAGCAATTAGCCTGGCAATCTCAAATCTCCAACAGATCCAGAAAAAGGAATTAGTTTTTAAATTGCTCACTGTTTTAGTCTAAAGTAAGGAGTGATATTGTCTGCTTTCTTTGTATGCTGGAACTGCAACCACAAGTCCTACAAACGTCCTTAATTAGTATAATATTTAAAAGTTCAAACACTTTCCCCTTGTCACAGAGTAAGAAATACCTCCTATGTCCTCTCTACCACAAGAGCTCTTAGCTCTCTCTGTTCCATTGCTACTTCTCTTTGTTACCCTGTATCAGCCAGTGAGTGTATGGAAATGTACTTAAAGTTTGTACCTTCAATTCTCCAAAGGATAACAAAGAACTAATACCATTCTAGATGACAGGAGATAATTTATTATATGTGTTGGCCACTGGTGGTTGATATTTCAGTGGGTGCTGCCTAAAATAGGTTGGTTTCTGATTAACAAAACAATGGTTACTACATTCAATATTCAATACTGGCTTTTGTTTGTTTGCTTGCAGTGCTGGGGATGAAGCCAGAATATATGGTTTATGGATGGTAGACTGGGGATGTAGCTCAGTAGCTAAATCCCCAACCTGATAAATATTTTTATCTAATATATCAACCATACTTTAGTTTTCTCATTGTTCTAAGAAAAAATGTCCCTCTGACAATATTCTGCTCTGTATTACACATTAATCCTTTGTCATATATCTTAATATTTCAATCAAGAACAATTCTTTTTTTTTTTTGGTTTTTCGAGACAGGGTTTCTCTATGGTTTTGGAGCCTGTCCTGGAACTAGCTCTTGTAGACCAGGCTGGTCTCGAACTCACAGAGATCCGCCTGCCTCTGCCTCCCGAGTGCTGGGATTGAAGGCGTGCGCCACCACTGCCCGGCTAAGAACAATTCTTCATGCCATGACACTGAAAACTTGTAGTGGCATTTCAGTTGTACTTTAATAAATAAAGCTTGCCTGGGGATCAGGAGAGTAAAACAGCCACAGTGGTCAGCCTTACAGCTGGACAGTGGTGACACAAACCTTTAATCCCAGTAGCCACACTAGTTGCCATAGAAACCGGGCAGTGAATGCTTTTAATCCCAGTGGTGCATACCTTTAATCCCAGAACTAGAGAGATTATAAAATGGGAGGAAACAACTATCAAACATAGTCTCATTCTGAGATTCCTGGAGGCAGGATCACCATTTTCAGACTGAGGTCAAGGTAAGAGCCAGTGACTGGCTGTTTTGCTTCTCTGATCTTCAGTTTTATTAATAATGCTTCACTTTAAGTATTGCAAGCTATCTGTTTCTTGGTTGCACATTTCTAATTTGGCTTTGTCTCATCATTATGCATACTTAAGTTAGAATGATACATCTTTGCATAATACTCTATCTTTCTAGTAGGCAACTCTGACTTTGACAACTTGGGTGACATATTTTCTGATTGTCAATAATACAATTATTATGAACCCTTGGCAACAGGCAGGAAGGGTAGTTGTACTTTTAAGTCTATGCAGATATCCTGTCTACAATCTCCTCTTAGGGCCTCACCTCAGGTTGTTATTAATCTCTAACTATTCTTGCCCAGCCATTCTTTCATTTTCTCACCCATTCTATTTATTAGCACCCTGTCCCGTCTACCGACTTAGCAGCCACTCCATCCTTTCTGTGTCATCACTGTGAACTCATGGGTGCATGTGTTCTTTTGTTTTCTGTTGGGCTTTTTTGAGACACTGTGTCATGTAGGGCACATTGGCTTGGGCCTCATTATGTAGCCTAGGATGACCTTGCATTTGCTGAGATTCCCTGGGGCATTGTGACTGCTTATCAAAACACTCTTACCAATTTAGCCACATCCCTATCCCTCTGTGTTTTTAGTAATTCATCACTGTCTTTATTGGGATGTAGATACAGCTAGTTGGTAAAGTACTGGCCTAGCATTCACAAAGTTCGGATTCAATTCCCAGCATACTCATAATCCAGGCACCCCAGAGGTGGAAACAGGAGAATCAATTCAAGATCACACTTGGCTACACAGTTAATCAAGCCCAGACCCTGTTGGGGAGGGAGGGAACACACATACTCAAATATTCCCACATTTGGCAAGAAGAAGCCTAGAAAAAGCTAGTTCCTGAATTCTTTACCAAGATTCCATCTTCTTTGGTTTTTGCCACTAGTCTTGTGTTTGCCTGAGTCAACATTTTTAACACAAATATGAGGCACATTTCATTATTACCTTACCTGAATGTTTAAAGATCACCTTGACATTTCGTTTTCTTTAAAAATTAGTTTAATTTACTTACAAAACAGCAACATACATTTATTCTGTTAAGCCAGGGGCTTGGTCATAGCTCAGTGTAGAGTGCAGGTTTAGCTTTCAGGGGCCCATGTTAAATTTCCAGCAGTAAAGAAAACAACAATAGTTATTTAAAAAAAAAAAAAACTGAGAATAAGAGAAATTTTAGAATACACAGAGTTTACTGCTATGTTCAAAATTATTAAATCCCAGTTTTTATTGTCAGTATCTATTATTATCTAATTTATAAACTGCATTTTAAGCTTTCTGTATGTAATTATTCTATATATATGTGTGTGTGTGTGTGTATATATATGTATATACATATATATAAAACTCATACCCAGTTGTACTCAAAATATACTGGTAGTGAAATCTTTCTTCATGTGTTCCCAAATGCAGCCTTACCTGAGGAGTCCAGTAAAAAGTGGGGCTCAATCTGTAGAGTTTTCTTTTATGGAAACTTTGAAGGGGTCTTGTTCGGGCAGCTGTACTCATGATAGCCAAGGATGGAGATTTCAGTCTTGTCCTGTCTTTTCGCCTTTTCTTACTGTGCTTCTGATTAAGTAACCAGCTACTGGAGGAAGAGAGCTCATCTAAATTCTCTGAAGCACTGAAATGTATGAAATAATTGGAGATGGGGGGGGGGGCAAAATAAAATGAACAGAAGACAAAGAAAACTAAATGTAAATTTTCTTGTTTTATTATGATAGAAGAGTATTAACTTTTAGTCAATTTGTGATAACAATAGGTAAAATAATTGATATTAATGGAGAATTACATAGTAAAAATATAGAAATTATTTCTATTTTCTGCTGCAAAAGGTACATTTTCAAAGTTAAAATGTTTTTAATATAAGATGAATGTTTTTTGTAAAACAATAATTCACAGATGACATAGTTTAAACTATTTATGCCAATTTCTTTTCATGTTTAGATGAAGTACATCAGAACTAAGGCTTAAAAAGTCCCAAGGTCTCCTAACTGCATTTTAAATCCCTCTTAAATAAGCAAGTTTACTGCATTTCAAATTTTAGTGAATTCTGAGACAGCTACAATCCTATTATAGCTTAGAAACTTTTAAAACTTATGATGTAACTTACAACTATAAAATAATGAAATAAGCTATATATGGAAAATATAAGTTTATAATTAATCTTTATTGCAATTTTTAATATTATATTTAAGGTTTCTCATGTTCCCAGAAAAAAAGATCCCTATCATAAAGATTTTACAAGCTGACAGGTTAAAACTTGATGATTACGTTGGAATATTACACATCAAGAGAAATATTAGGTGGTATCTTTTGTTCGTTAATAGCTATTTGTTATTCTTTTCTGAATCTCTGATCTAGTTTTATTCTGACTAGCAGTAAAAAAAAGAACCTTTGGAATATATTAATAAATAAGTTATTACCTGCTGTGGGATGATGCTCTTGTACACTGTAATGATCTGTCACTCATATTGGGCTAATAAAATGCTGACTGGCCAGTAGCCAGGCAGGAAGTAAGGCAGGGTAACCAGACTAAAAAAATTCTGGGAAGAGGAAAGGCCAGATGCTTCCACCAGCTTCCACCAATGCAAAAAACTAATAACGTCAAGAGTCAGCACCTGAAAATGCTAATACTTTGATGTAACTGGCCTACTTGAATCTCCAACCCTATAGTTGCTAGGTGTCTTGATGTCTGTGTTTCTTTTGTTCATAAAAATGTTCATAAAATTGTTTCCACAGTGAAAAATACCATTCAGGGCAACCTGAATTTGTTCCTAAGTGCAATCACTCAGAATAAACTGTCTTAGGAATTTTGGAGAGCTGTTTTATGTTGACACACTTAACTTGCATTATTATATTAGATATTAATATACTAATATATTGTAATATTATACTAATATGTACTAATAGAATGTAAGCTTTTCAACTTTATGCAGACCAATACTAGTTGACTTAGTAGTCTAACATTACATTTCATCGAGATAGGCTAGATACACAGGGAATAAAGCAACAAACAGCATACTTGGTAAATGGTGGTACATTATGAGACTCCTCAACATCTGCTAGGACAGCTGCTGACTACACTTTGATTCATTATAAATACATCTTCAGATTACTAGCCTTGCAAATTTGCTTGCTTTTGTCATGTATCTGACAGCATGCTGCAGCTGGAAAACCCCACATAAGGGCAGAAATGCTGGGTTAGCCCTATTCTAGGACACACCCACACCCCTCCTGTAACCCCTCACCTTGCTTCTACATTAACTCAAGAATAATCCCTCATCATTTTAAGTTTGGGCAAAAAAAAAGGAGCTACTGGAGATTTGGGATGTTTCTTCCTGAGAAGCCAACTATTACTGCTTCACCATGTAACTCTCTGCCTTGTAAGAAACTTGCTCCAAATGTCTTACTTATTATTTCTTTAATGATGACAAGAACCTGGAAACACTGAATAGAGGTCTCCATTTGTTCCTTTATCTTTGGCATATCACCAACCAAATAATGCTAAATGATTTAAGACCAATTGGTGTTTGCAGTTCTTCTGTGTCCAGGGAAATAGCTCAGTCTGCAGCAACCACATGGTGGCCCATAACCACCATAATGAGATCTGTTCATATGTACATACATGCAAAACAGAACATGGTACATATTAAATAAAGAAATCTAGGAAGGAAGGAAGGAAGGAAGGAAGGAGGGAAGGAAGGAAGGAAGGAAGGGAAGGAGGGAGGGAGGGAGGGAGGGAGGGAGGGAGGGAGGGAGAGAGAGAGAGAGAGAGAGAGAGAGAGAGAGAGAGAGAGAGAGAGAGAAAGAAAGAGAGAGAAAGAAAGTTAGTTCAGTCTGATACCTGCCATGGAAGTACAAGAACCTGCGTTTGGATGCCAAGTAAAAGCCAAGTGCAGCAGTACCTCTGCTTTTTTTTTTCATTACCCAACACTGGGGCAAAAGTCTTAAGTGAAACTGAAAACTCTCTGGATGGATTCCCTCCAGGGTCAGTGAGATCTTGTCTCTGAAAATATGGTGGCAAGTGCTTGAGGGAGACACCCAACTCTGACCTCTGGCCTCCACATGCATGCACACACAACCACATACCATATTGCTATACACATTCATACCCACACATGCTACACACAAAACACAGTATTTTTTATAACAGTACTATTGTGTTTAAATCATATTACATCTACTATAAAAATATTCTTTTAGAGTAATAAAACAAAAAATTCAAGAATGTTCACACAGCAACGGGAAATCAGAAAGATCCAAAGAAGTCTGGGTAATTTATGTCAATAAAAACAAAAAGAAGAATTGAAGAGGGAAGATGGTAACTATAATACATTCAACAACTATGTCAGTGATATTTATAGCAGTTAGTAATAACACACGCTGTCACCTAAAGTCTCTTGTCAGGCTTGGTGACATCAGGGTGTAATACTAGCTACTCAGGTAGCCTCAGCAATGAATCAGACTGCAAGTTCAAGTCCTGCCTGGGGTACAAATAAAGCAAAGACCAGCTTACACAATTTAGTAAGACCTATCTCAAAATGTAAAAAGTGCAAAGTGCTGGGATCGTACACCATTCCCAGATAAAAGGGATTTTTTTCCAGTACAAAGGCAAATATTAGCATATTTAACTAGTTAATAATTGAGACATATAGCTTGTCAAACACTTAATACAGTTCCAAGAGTTTTTAAAAAGTGCATATATGTATATGTTCAAGACAGGGTTTCTCTATGTGATAGCCTTAGCTGTCTTGGAACTTGCTCTGTAGACCAGGCTGGACTTGAACTCACAGAGATCCGCCTGCCCGTCTCCCAACTGTTGAAATTACAGGCATGCACCACCACCACTGGGCCAGAATTAACTTTTAAAATATTTCTGGAGTAAACAATCATGTTAGAAATAGAAACTACTTAACTGAATTAGCAAAATATTGAGATAATTTAAGTCTAGAAAGAGGTGGGTTTTTAATATATTTTCTATGTTTAATGTTTTCCATAAAGAAAAAGAAACTGATTATTATAGTGTTATTTGTATTCTTACCTCTGGCTATAAACTTCAAATGGGACTTTTTATTATTATTTCTTTTTGTAGTTGTTTTTGAGAATATTGTTATTTCTTTTTGTAGTTGTTTTTGAGAAAAGTTCTTGCTATGTAGGCCAAATTTAGCCTCAAACTCACTATGGCCCAAGCTGGCCTGGCCTGGAACTCATGAACCATCTATGCCAGCCTCTAAAGGATTAGGATGACAGGCATGCACCACAATACCTGCCTAAAAAGGGTTTGAAAGCATGAAGACAAAATAAAAAAACAAAAAACAGAAAGCTACTGTTAACTGTTATTTCTTATCTGAGTTTTTTTTTTTTTTTTTAAAAAAAGCAGTGTTTTCACTTCAAAGAAAATTTGGAAACATATACACACACAAAAGGAAAACATAAAGTTAAAGCCATAGGGGATCACTTCGCCAGCCTTAGCACGTATGTCTGGATTGTTCAGAAGGCATGCAAGGAGTGTGGTGTGGTGGCTGGGATCTGTAAGCCTGTCAACTGCACAGTAAGAGAAGACACACAGCTTCTGAGAAGCTGAGCCTATGTGGTGAAGATTACTAGCTCAAAAGGAAGCAGGTATCTGAAGGACAGCCTCCACAGGTGTCCTCTGACCTCAGTAAGCATACTAGGAACATGTACACCTAGGTACCCAGATATGACTCCCCACACACAAATACAGCTAAAATACTTTCTGAACCCAGCCTTTTCAGATGAAATACTGTTTTTGCTGCATACCCCTCAAATGTTTTTCTAAGAAATCATTGTACAATAAATTTTGTATTCTCATTTTTCCAATTAATAGACCAAAATAAACAAGTTATTATAGAATTACATATTTTCTAGACACAATTTTAGCAGTATACCAGTAAATTCCCCTGTGTAAAATTAGTTTTACACTTACATCATTAGAGATAAAAACGAAACGAAGCTGTTTTACAAATAAAAGTAATTCCTAGTGGCACTTCCTTCTTTCAAAACAGCAGGGAGGTTTCATCTCCCCACTGACATCATATATCTAGTTAATATGATAATTAAGTGTTATCCATCAGAATCCAAACTTATATTGAGAGCAGTGACCCAGAAAATATTGCTAGCAAACAATATTCTCCTAATTGAGAAGTGACTACTGTGATGTGACTTAGTTTCACAGCGTAATTGACATGGTTGTCAGACTGCGGCTTTTCCATTACGACACCAGCTACAAGGGACGGCTGCTCAGCACGTGAGACAATCACCACTAGTGACAACAGTGTGGCAATGGGTCGTGACAATGTAATTTCATACCCCATTCTGTAACTCATTAAGGCAAAATCAAATAAAAATTTAGACCTTATTTCAAGTAGAAATTCACTTTCTCAGAGATAATATATGGCATCTTATGTTCATTTTAGAATATCAGGTCTAAAAATGTATAACTACCTCAGTGACTTCATTTATTTGGAATTTTAAATATACTTATTTGGTTCTCAGTGACTCTTCTTAGGTCTTAGTGCTAGGATTAATAAACCTAAAAAATTAAATCCAACCTTACCACTTTCGGGTAGACAATTCCCTTAATTAGTAAATGAGGGTTAGAAATCAATGAATAGTAACAAATGCACAAAAAAGTTCCTCAGAAAATAATTAACAGTGAGTTTAAAGACAGTATGAGAAAAAGTTATTAAGATACTTATAAAAATTAACCTAAATATTTAAAAAGTATTTATCATGGTTTTATTTAACTCCCTCAAAAGTTAAAGAAAGGCTAAACTTTACATTTCTTCCATAATATGCAAACTTATGATATACTCTGATGTAAAGTGAGGAATAGTACACTTTGATAGGAGAACTAAAATGTTTGACTTGTGAGGTTTCTTACATGACAGGTCAACTACCCAGAACGCAGCTAAAATCACAAAAGGCTCTATTTAACCAAAAGAGATTTCATGGCATGCACACAAGCTTACTCACGTGACTTGTAAAAGAGGCTTTCTCTTTCTATAAGTTGTCCCTTACTACCTTATACTTTCTACTGCTTTGAATTTTTATTTTTTAAAGATTGTATGTGTGTGTGTATCCACGCACATGTGCATGTGTGTGTGTGCCTGTATGTTTGGATGCTTATGGGGAGCATAAAAGAAGGGTGCTTGAGAACCCACACTCTTGTCTTCCTTTTTGCTCCCTGGTTCCTAATGAACAGGGTCGCAGGGTACTTTGTTCCACCAAACACTCTCACCATGGTGTGCTGTCTCACTGCCAGCCTCAAGCTAACCAACTGATTGTGAACTTCTAAAACGGAAAACCAAAATAAATGTATCTGAATTCAAAGCTGATCATCTCAGGTATATTTCTTATGTGGACTGAAAGATGACAAACAAATATTTGATTCATTCAATATTAATTGATGTTCATAATATGTATTACTGATGCAAGTGTTCAAAATAAAACCCCAAACCACAATTTAACAAGATAAACCAAAGAGATTCTACTTTTTTGAAGCTTATATACTGTCAAAAACAGAAGACAGATAATATGTAAAAACTTTAACAAAATAAATCACAATTGTTATCTGATATTCAAACTGCTCATGAACTAGTTGACTGTTCCCATGTCTGTTCTTGACTAATGGTAACCGAGTACAGAGCTCTACATATGTATGCCATGTCCGTGTACTACAACTAAGCCACATCTCCAGCTCTTGCAATGCTCCTGCCCCAGCCTTGCAAGTAGCCAGGACGACAGAAATGCATCACTGTGCCCATTTTAACTATTCTCTTCCTGTAATAGAGAAAAATATACACGATTATGTGGTAGGGGGAATGTGATTGGCCCCCATCATCTCACAGGGAGTGGCACTACTAGGTGTGGTTTTGCTGGACTGAGTATAGCTCTGTTGGAGGAGGAGTGTCACTGTGTGCTTTGAGGTTTTCTATGCTCAAGATACTGCCCAGTGTCTCTCAGTTGACATCCTACTGCCTGCAAGATGTAGAACTCTCAGTTACTTCTGCAGTACCACGTCTGCCTGCCTGCTGCCAGATTCCCTGCCATGATGATAATGGACTGAACCTTTGAAGCTGTAAACCATCACCTCACATGTTTTCCTTTAAAAGAGTTGCTGTGGTCATGGTGTTTCTTCACAGCAATAGAAACCGTGTGTGTGTGTGTTTATGATAATAAACATAATTTACATAAACAAAATGATATAGAAAATGTATTTAGTCTAAAACCACAATGCTCATTCATCATTTTACAACTCAACTTGTAATTGACTTTCATCATGGATCCCTAAAACAGGATTCTTGTAAATGAGACTGTCATATTTGCCCTATACAACCAGCAAGTCTTACTTTCCAAGGGAAGCATCAACGATGCAAAATATGACACTATGTCAAAAATCAAGTAAAATCAGTAGAAAAACTACTTTCATGATAGATCCGGGGGAAAATGACTGAGCATAAATAAAACTTCAGAAATATTTTAAAACAAGCTTTCTGAATAGTCAATTAGAAACAAAATTTTTATTTAAGATTTAGTTTCTATTCACTGATATCATTCATGAGTGGGATAGCCATTCCATTAATATTAATACTTAATATGATTTTTATCTGGATATATATTTTATTTTTGATATATTAGAAGGTTCCTAAAATAACTAATAATGTGATTATTAATATAAAAATTAATGTAAAATTATGGTGTTATGTGCCAATAGTCTGTGTCTAACTATATCTAGGGTCTTTTTTAAGTTACAGTAAACTGAAGATCAAGAATGAAGAATGTACAAAATGGAAGTCACAGTATTAAGGAAATACTTTCATAGCGAATATTATCACTAGTATGATTTTTAGAAGCATTAAAATTCCTAAAAATTCCTCATGGGTAACTATATTAATCCTATGTACTTATTTATATCTAAAACTGTACCCATGATTTATGATTGTAGTATTGTAATCCTAAAAATGGCTATAAAATTCAAATAAAATAAGCCAAATTTAGAAGTCAAACTCTTCAAGTAATACCTACCTCTTTGAAATGCCATTAGCCAGACATTTGTGGCTGCAGGATTTGGAGGAGAGTGGTGAGGAAGTTGGAGACAAGTTGAGAGGGGCAATCAAACTGTTAATGATTTCAGTCAACTGTGCACTCTACAAAGAAACAGTTAACACTTTAGTATAGTTAAGCATCATTAAGATCCTAAATTTCTCTCCAAAAGTATACTTATATGCTGTATTATATTTACTGACTTGCATATACTGAATCATCCTTGAAAATGAAGCCATACTGTTGTTTTTTTTTTAAAAATCTGTTCAAAATGGCCAGCTTTCTCCAACAAGACTCTACCTTATAACTTCTAAAAAATTACATATCTACCACTTGGTTGATCTGGTCAGAACCTTCATGATTCAATCAACTTTCAAGGATTGGGTCTATGAGCTAGAGACTAATATACAATGAGCTAGAGACTAATGTGACTTTTGGAAGATATTTGATATCTAAACCCTATCAAATAGTTTAAGAAGCAAAACCCTATCTAAAGTTATTTCATAAAGCAAACACTAAGATTACCTGTTTTTCTATGTTTCGAAGAAGTAGCGTAGGGCTGCTGGGTGACATCTCAAAGTCGTGCTCTGGCAAGGTCTCTTCGCTCCTTTGGGGAATCTGAGAATTCACTGAAGTGTTTAATGAAGCCGCTTGATTTGAAAATTGTATCTGTTTTTTCAAAATGTCTTTTGGCAGCTGACATTCTTCTAAGATCACTATCCCCTAGGGGGTAAAAAGCAATAAAAGTGATCACACCCAATTGTCCTCATGGAAAACATAGATTTAAAATTGAAAATACAGTTTATCTCTCTTAAAAAAAATAACTGATTGGAGGTGAGAGATGGCTCAGCAGTAAAGAGAATGTACTTTCAGAGCAACTGAATTTGGATCCCAGCACCTATGTCCAGCAGTCTACCATCACCTACAACTCCAGCTCCAGAGAATCCAACATACTCTTCTGGCAGATGAGAGCATGCGCACATGAATGCATACACAAATACACACACACACACACAATTAAAAAATTATCTTAAAAAAACCAACCTTTTTTAAATCCTATGTGATTGGACCACTAGAGTAAGACGATGGACTGGAAACTATCTCCATATAAATGTGCCATAGTTAAGAAGAAGTGACGAGAAGAAAGAGAGAAAGAGATGATGGGGAGGAAAGAGAAAGGAAGGGAGGGGAGGAGAGGAGAGGGAGAGAAACAAAGCAAGCCTTGATGTAAAGAGAAAGGGGGAGAGTTTGGAAATGTGCAAAAAAGTGATGGGGTACCTGAAAATTACAGAGAAACAAATAATAGACCAAAAGGAAGAAAGAATAATGAAACATAGTCTCACCTACCAACCTGCAGAGGGAAAGGGGAAAGGGACACAACAAAAAGTAGAACTGGGGATTGAGTGCACAGGAATATGCAAATAACTAAAAGGGTTTCTCCCAAGCTAGAAGAGATACCCAAACCAAGAGTGAATGTAGAAATACACAAAACCAAAAGCCCACTATAACAACTCTAAAGAACAATAATTACTAAATTAAAACATATTAAAGCACAGATAAAGACCTAAAAAGTTTACTAGCAAAAAAAAAAAAATGATCAATGACCTCAAAGAGGACTCAAACAGACAAATGAAGTAAGGAAATCAATCTATGACCTAGAGAGAAAAGAGAATAACACATAGGAGAACATCAACAAAACAGAAGAAAAAATTCAGCTTGATAATTGAGACTTTTGAGAAAAAGTTGGAAATAAAAAGCTCATATAAGTTAATACATGAGAATTATAAAATATAGCAATACTGAAACAGTGGTTTGTGATTTCACCTTTGTCTTCTATTAGTATTTAAGAGATCAGTATATTTAAAAGAATTATTAATTTATGTTTTATGTCATAAAAGACAAAAGTGAAATTTTGTTATAAAGAAGAGAATTCTATATGTTGTTGAAGTTGTACTGTTATAAATTCAAATTAGAATGGTAAAGTTTTGTAAAGTTAGAAGCAATCTTAAGTAGTAACCACAAATAAAATAACTATAGTATATACACAAAAGAAAACTAGAAGGACTTTCAACACCAAAAAATAAGTAAATCCAGGCAATGCTATTACAAATCCTTAACCCCAGCACTTGGGAGAAGTAGGAGAATGTATGTAAATTCAAGGTCACCTGGTGTCCATTTCAACTTCCTGGCTAGCTACCACTTCATAGTGAAATTTTGCCCCAGAATAAAATAAATACAAAATAAAACGAACAAAAAGAGGACAGTAATACAAGAAATGAGTCACAAGAAAGTCATACAACATACAGAAAACAAACAGCAAGATGTCAAAAGTAAATTGATTCTTGTAATTAATTACTTTGATTCTAAATGGATTAAACCCTCCAATGAAGTCACAGAACAACAGAGACAAATAAAAACATATCAATGTAAACTTGTCTAGAAGAAATACTTAATCCAATGGTATAATAAGCTGAAATTGATAAAAAAAAAAAATACCACACAAATAGCAAGCAAAAGAGAACAGGGTGGCAATACTGATGTCAGTCAATAGAGACATAACAATTACAAACATTTATACAGCTAATAATTGACCAAAATAGAGGAAGCAAAACATAATAAAAGTGAAGAAATAGTTACACAATAATAACTCACTATTGAAAAATAAAATAAACAGAGGATCTAAAACAGTGAACTAGATTTAACAGCTATACATAGAACTATACAATAGCAGCATATAGATTCCTAAGTATACATTGTAAATTTTCCACAAAAGACCATATATTAAGTCATATATGAGTAGACGTTCAAAAGAAAAAGAAAAAATTTAAAAACACATTCTTCAATACAAATATGGAAAGAAGTAAAACTGTCCCCTTTTACAGATGATACAGTATGGAGATTCTAAAGATTCTATCAGAAAACTTCTAAAAATGATAAACTCAGCAACATAACAGTATCAATGTGCACAATCAATAGCTTTTCTGTACACAAGCAAATGGACACACTCCCACTTACAATAGGTTCATAGAATATCTAGGAATAAACCAAGCCAAGGAAATGAGGGAAATCTATAATGAAAACTTTAAATTTATGCAAAAAAGAGGCAGACATTAGAAAATGGAGAGACACTATTGCTTATGGGTTGTTAGCATGAACATTGTGAAAAATGACAATTCTGCAAAAATATATTTACAAATTCAGTGCACTCCAAATCAAAATCCCCATACATTCTTCAAAGAAACAGAAAAATAACAGTATTCTACACTTCGTATGGAACCACAGAAGAACCATGTATAGCCAAAAAATTCTGAACAAAAAGAACAATGTTCGGCAGATTAAAATTTCAGATTTTAAGATATATTACAAAGTAATAAAAACAATATATTGGCACAAAACAGACATGTGAGCCAATGAAACAAAATCAAAGGTCTAAAACATGAGCACATCTAACTTCGGGCACTTAATATTTGACAAAGAGGTCAAAAAAACATAGGCTGGAAAAAAGAAAGCATCTTCAACAAATGGTGCTGAGAAAAATTGGTTGTCCATATTGTAGAAGAACGAAATTAGACCCATTATCCATCACCTTGCACAAAACCTTGACTCCAAATGAATCAAAGACTAAACCTGAAGCACTGAAACTGCTGGAGGAAAACACAGGCAGTGCCTGCGTGGTGCAGGTATAGGTAAGGACTTCCTGAGTAGCACTCTGTTTTCCTCAAGACTTAAGGTCAACAATCGCTGAAATTTAATAAAAGTGAAAAACCTTCTGCAAAGCTAAAGAAAACAAGCAGGTAAAAGGAAGCCCAAAAAAAAACGGGGGAGGAATGTTAACCACCTACACATCTGACAGACTTTTAGTATCTAGAACATACAAAGAACTCAAAAAACAGTCAAAAACAAAAAAAATGACTCATTCAAAAAATAGGCCTGGAACTGGAATGGAGAGTTCTCAAAAGAAGCGGGGTGTGAGGAACGACTGAGAAATATCTTAAAAATGTTCATCATCCCTAGCAATTAGGAAAATGCAAATCAAAACAACTTTGTGATTTCATATGATCCCAGCTAGAATGGCAAAGACCAACAAAGTAACCCACATCAAATGCTGGAAAAGAGAAAGGATTCTCAGCTGGTAGAATTGCAAAATTGGTGCATGCTTTCACTGTGTCTCATGTGACATGTTGAATTTTCATTTGATAAATAAAAATACAAACCAAAAACTGGAAGACTTACACTCCTTGATTCTAAAGTGACTGGACTAATCCAAATAGTGTAATAATAGCCTAACCATAAACAGACAAATAGAGCAAAGAATAAAATATTTGCATATATTGTCAAATGATTTTAAGAATAGTATCAAAACCATTCAGTAGAAAAAGCAAAATCTTTTCAACTAATTTGACCCTGGGGAAACTGGAAATATACACACAAAATAATGGAAATTCGATCCTATCTAATGCCACAAAAGAATGGAAATTCAACTCTATCTAACGCCACAAACGTCAACTCAAAATAGACCCAAATACCTCAATGTAAGACCTAAAACCATAACTCTTGAAGAAAACATAGTAACACCAAAGGCACCAATAAAAAATAGAACAGATAAATTAGAATTCATAAAAGTAATATATACAAAGTAAAAAGACAACAAACAAATGGTAGAAAAGATTTAGAAATCACATATTAGAGAAGCAATTATCATCTAGAATATAGAGAACCCCTAGAGTTCAGCAACAACAAAGCAAATAACAAAAGATTTGATGTATATTTCTCTATAGAATATATAAAAATAACCAGTTAACATAAAAATAACCTCAACATCATTAATATTGATATGAATATTATGTAAATATAAATCACAACTGAAGAGATATCACCTTACAACATGTAATATCATCATTTAAAAAAAGCAAAAAAAAAAACAACAACAGAATGTTGGTCACAACTTGTAGTAATTAGAACTACTGTATAAATTAGTTCATTAAAAATTAAAAATAGTTACAATACATTCCTGTAATTCCATTTCTATATGTATAGCTAAAATAACTGAAGGAGTACTGTGTATTTTTGTTTGTTTGTTTCTGGGAAAAGCTCTCACTATGGAACCCTGGCTAACTTGGAACTCACTACGTAGGCAAGGAGACCTTAAACTCAAAGAAATTCACTTGCCTCCCTTCCCCAAGTGCTGGGATTAAAGGCACACATCATGTTCCACTGAAAAGAGCACCCTGAAGAGTTAGATTTTACACTATTCTCAGCATACAACAGTTAAAACGTGAAACAACTTAAACCTCACTGGCTCAATGGATAAACAAAATGTTATAAATACACAACTATTCAGCTTTTGAAAAGGAAAGAAATTTGATGTGGGAGTGTCATCTATCCATCTGTTGCTTTCATTGCTTAATTAATAGAGAAAACTGTTTGGCCTGATAGGGCAGAATTTAGATAGGTGGAGTAGACCGAACAGAATGCTGAGAGGAAGAAGGCAGTGAGAGTCGATAGAGCTCTCCTCTCCAAGATGGACGCAGGTTAAGATCCTTCCCAGTAAGCAAGCCACCATCTCGTGGTGCTACACAGATTATTAGAAATGGGTTAATCAAGACGTGATAGTTAGCCAGAAAGAGGCTAGAGCTAATGGGCCAAGCAGTGTTTAAAAGAATACAATTTGTGTGTTGCTATTTCGGGTGTAAAGCTAGCCGTGAGGGAGCTGGGCAGGAACGCTCATTACAGAAATTTAAATATACTACAGTGTGCATAAACTGGAAGGACAGTAGCCTTTAAAGTAAACCAGTCATAAAAAGGTAAGTACTATTATGTTTCCACATGTATGATATACTTATAAACAAACATGATTATTAAGTTAAGGAGAAGAAAAACTGGATAGTCATTGTTTAAAAGGTATACAATTTTCAGTTTTAAAAGATGAAAAGTTATGAAAATGGATGCCTAATATTATTAAAGTACTTAATACTATAAAACTGTACACATAAAATTAATAAGATGGAAAGTTGTGATATATATACATATATGATCATAACAACATTTTTGGAAAGAAGTATATACTATTTTTATCAAGTAGAACTCAGTTCTTAATTGTTAAAACGTAAGATCAAATAATCTTAATATATAAAAAGGCTTTACAAAAGTAGCATCAGTTTTAAGAAATTAATGTATGAATATCTTAAACTAGCTATTATAAAACTTAAGAAAAATCACTTTGTGTGAAGAATTGAGAAATTATACACATAACAATTTTAACAAAAATAAAACCGTACTGATAATACCTTGGAGGCACGAAGATGCCTGTGAATATCTGTTAGTTGCTGGATTTTGTATTCTAGCTCTGAAATCTGAGCTTGAAGCCAAGTCCATCGGCTGCCAACTCGCGCTCTGTCTACAAGCCACTTCCATTCAGTACTAGCGTTACTGTGAACAAAGCAAACACTGTTAGTCAAAGCACAAAGTCAGTCAGCTCTCTTCAAAGTCTTTATAACTTCCCTGACCACTTGCATGAAACCCTGTTTCTTTTACAAACTAACTACACTGCATCAGGGATGGCAGGTTGACTTCTTATCAAAGTAGATAATTTGAGTCCTTACCTTTCTACTACACAAGTACTTGGCTGTAGTCAATATTACGCACCTAACAGTAGGGTAATCCCTCCATAATTTAATATGTTATTAATGCTAAGGGCTTACATAGGGCTGAGCCAATAAGGAAAATGAAACAAAAATGGTAATTCCAACATCCCATAAAATCTGTTCTGTAATGGGGATACAGAGTCTGAACTGGCCATCTTCTGTAACCAGGCAAGGCTTCCAGTGGTGGGACCAGGACATCAACCCAGCCACAAAACCTTCAATCTACAATTTGTCCTGCCTGCAAGATATGCTGGGACAATAGTGCCTCAGAACTTGTAGGAGTGGTCAACTAATGACTAGTCCAACTTGAGGCCCACACCATGAGAGAGAGCCCATGCCTGACACTGCCTGGAGGACCAGGGCCAGAGACCTTGGATGAACCAAACAGGACTGACCAAAAGAAAAAAAAATCAACGAAAGGATTCCTAACGATATTCTCCTATACTCATAGGATCGGTGTCTAACACAATAGTTCCAGAGAGGCTTCATCCACCCACTGATGCAGAGACCCACAGCCAAACATTAGAGTGGAGAACCCCTGCAGAAAAGGGGAAGGAGGGAAGGACTGGAGGAGCCAGAGGGGTAGATGAATATGTCTGACAGAATCAACTAAACAGGGCTCACGGATCCTGTATAGGTCTGAGCTAGGTCCTCTGCACATATGTTATAGTTGTGTAGCTTGGTGTCCTTGTGGGACTCCTAAGAGTGGAGGTGGGGGTGTTTCTACTTCTTATAACTGCTCTTGGGACCCTTTTTCTCCTACTAGGTTGCCTTGTCCAGTCCTGACATGAGTCTGTGCCTAGTCTTACTATAATGTGTTATGCCATGTTCGGTGGATCTTCCTAGGAGCCCTGCTCTTTTCTGAAAGGAAAAAGAGTGGATCTGGGGCAGAGGGAGAAGTGAGGGGGCAAGTTGGGAGAAGAGGAGGGAGAGGAGGCTGCTACTGGGATGTAATGTATGAAAGAAAAAATTTAAAAAAAAAACAGAATCTTACATGTAAAAGTGGATATCATGTATTAAACAATCCATTTGATTTATAAGGAGCTCTACTTTTATATACGTTCTGAAAAAAAAAGCTGAAGACTCTTCTAGCTTCTGACAAGGGCAATCTTTGAATCTGTAATTTATTTAGATTACAAACGAATTATTTCATGAAAATACTGTAATTGCATCAACTAGAAAAATAAATAAATGGAAACATACAAGGCATGGGGGAGGATGAAAATGGGGAAGAATGGAAAGAAGCAAAAATTGATATGGATTACCAAGGAAAAAATATCACTAAAAATATGGAAGTATAACTCAGAGCTAATAACTACAAAATAGAACATAATAACTACATAGTAGAAAAACATATGAACCTTTATTTTTTCAAAATAAGTACCTACTATGTATTATCAAAATCACAGAATATACCCCTCAATGAACCATAATGATAATTACAGTGATAATAAACATATCAATATAAGTTCATCAATGACAGTAATTGGTATGAATGTTGACTCTGAGTAATTTGTAGGAACAGAGAGGATATAGGGATTATGATATTTACTCAGTTTTGCTGTGAACCCAAAACTACTCTAAAGGCTAAAGTTTAGAAAATATATAATGGAAACCAAAACAAAAAGGCCAGGTGTTGTAATGCATGCCTTTAATGCCTGCACTCAAGGGACAGAGGCGGGTCGGGCAGATCTCGGTGAGTTCAAGGGCAGCCTGGTCTATATAGGAGCTCCAGGACAACCAGAGCTACATAGTGAGACTCTGTTTTGAAAACAACAATAGTAATAATAAATGTTATAATGGAATATTCATATAAACTCAGCCAGAGAACATATTGTAGAAACAATTTTCTGTCAGATAAACAAGGCAAGTATTGTAACTTAGATTCAGAGTACTTAATAAATATAATAAATATAATTTTATATCAGTATTTCTAAAAGGCTACTTTTAAAATATTTTAATTGCCTGTACTATGAGTGAAAATAACATATACAGCAGTTTCTCTTGACATTATTACATTTTAAGTTTACAATCATTATTATAATTTTGCAAACTTTATCCATCTTTTAAAAATCAGACTTTCATAAATATGAACAAAGGGAGAGTGTCTATTTAAAATTTCACTTAATATAGATATTTAGCAGTATAAAATGCCAGGCGTTAAGTCTGGAACATAATGCTGAGCCATACCATGCACAACTTGCACAGGTGAGATTAATTTGGCTTAGTGTAAATTAGAAGCTACTTAAAAATAACAAAATTATTTTCCCAAGCAATGTGGCTACCAACACCTGACAAGGAGGAAGAAAGATACAACTGATTGGGGTACAAATTATCTCCAAATATCTCATGTGCTAGCCCTGTATTTTTTTGTACTTAAGTTGGAGTCAAGTGACTACTACTGACAACAGGCTATGAGCAAACTGACTCTCATTTTATACAGATGAGGACCTTCAAATCCACTGGTGTAGATAGGATAGCTATAAAACCATTCTAGATAGTGGGAGAATAGCCCAACCCATAAGCCACACTACATGTCTACTGTGCTCAAGCACTGAGATTATGATCCTAACTTGTTACTAAATATAAACTGTTCTAATGGAAACAATCTGAAAATAGGTTGGACTAAGAAGCTGAGATGATAAATAAGATATAAAGGTCACTGAAAAATAATGGAATTATGGGAGCTTTCTATGGAAGAGACCAGAAGGAAAGCAAAGGTATTCTTTCAAATTCTTCCATTTGCTTCGGTTAGAAAATTTCTTAACATTCAGTTTGACTTGGTTATGAAATTGATGACAAATGATCAAATAAAAAAGAAAAAAGTTTTCGTTTCTACATATTATACTTCTGGTAAAGTTACTGTCACTGAAGTTAGTGTCACACATTATTATGTTTACAAATCCTATCAAATTACACAATTAATTTGATATAATGCTAGATTAAATTTAACTGAACAAAATCATGTTGAAGCTTTATGGTGTGTGGATGGATGTTTACAATGGATATCTGATCCTACACTTACTATGAATGATTTAAAAAGCCTGTTCGCTAGATGGGAAGGGAGTAAACCAGCCTTTTCATCCGACATGCTTCCTTGCTGAAAACATCTTCTTTTCTTCCATTTTCAAGATTTTTTTTATTGATTTTTATTGAGCTCTACATTTTTCTCTGCTCTCCTCCCTCCCTCTCCCCTCCCCCTTCAATCCTACTCCAAGATGCCCATGCTCCCAATTTATTCAGGAGATCTTGTCTTTGAAAACATTTTCTTAAAAATATCAAGTTGTAAACATGTAACAGATAAGGATATGGCTGGCTTTTTGAAGAATGACAACTGTTGCATTTAAGGTCAAAATATGGCTTAAATAAGCAACAAATATAACGAATGATATAATTTTATGTGTAAACCAATAAAAATGCAGATGATATATCAGAGAACCTGTACAATGTAACTAGTATATAAGTTTGGGCTGCTAAACCTCTAAGAATAATGGCTCTCTGCATCTCAGAGGACGCACAGACCACTAGGTTGGTGACCATTGGTTGTAGTCCCATCTCTAATTAATAGCAAGGGAAACACATCTATGTGTGGACATCATTGGGCTGAAAGAAACCAGTAAGTCTCCCAAAGGCTAGTCTATGCTTTGAATTTCCAATCGTGCTTGCTTATAGTCAACACTTAACTCGCTCATGGAAATACTACACATTTAAGTAATTCTGGCTGCAATTTCCAGAGTTGTTGTTTTATCTTAAAATTTTGTTTATGCGGGGGAGTTTGCCTGCATATATACATGTACACCATATGCATGTCCAGCACCACAGGAAGCCAGAAAGATCATGGAGCCCCTAGAACTAGACTTTACAGAGGTGGGTGTGGGAACAAGTCCAGGACCTCTGCAAAAGCAGATGCTCTTTACCACATTAACACTTGAACATATACAGTCTAGTTTTGGCTTTGAAGTGTAGTTACTGAAGCAAGAGCTTTCCAGTATTCCAGTACTACATCTTTAGGTCTTAGGAATACATCCAGTATTACCAGTATTATATCTTTAGATCTTGGTAATACTGGATGTATTATTACCAAGATCTAAAGAAAGACATGTATATTTAATCTTCCATTTAACATTTTGTTACCTGACTAATAGAGCAAATTAATGACTAAAAATCAAAAAAGAATACCTAGTTATAAGAAATAACTATGTAAAGGAAAAGAAAGATTTGTCCTAGAAAAATAAACCAGGTCAACCTTCTCAACTGGTATTTGCTCAGCTAGAAAAATTGTGTTCTTCCCCGGAATTGGGTTCCTTTAGATCAGAGGTTACAAAGTTTTTCTGTGAAGAGGCAGACAGTAAATATTTTGGGCTTTGTGGACCAACTATTCAGCTCTACCTTTGTAATATGAGGGTACCTATAGGCCATATATCATGGGTGGCTGTATTCCAATGTAACTACTTTCAAAATAGGAACTAAATCAGATTGGGTTCATGGGTCTGCTGGCCAATACCTGTTGAAGATTATTTTTTCATGTGCATCTTCTGCTTCCCAAAGGATTTAATTACATGCCTGTGCAAATACCATGTCCACATTTGACGGGGCTATCTTATTGGTGTAATTCCTTTATCAAACTTACCTTATTAAAAAAAAAAAAAAAGAACAAACTTACCTTATTAGAAAACTTTATTCCCAGTCTACAAATAGTTAAATAGGCAAATGAGAGGTGCCCTAAATTATATCTGTTTATGTAAAACTAATCTGAATGGGTTTTGTTTTGTCTTGAGAAAAGGT